TACACAGGAAGACAGGAGGTGGAAAGACAAGCAGAGGGCTGCTAGAAAAGGGCCTTACAACCTCTTAGATAGCCCTGGCTTCCTCTCAGCGACATTGCTTGCAAATGCTACCTAGAGAGACCGTAGAAGCTCAGTGCAGATGGGACTGAAGAGCACCCCATATGTATCGTGGAGTTACAAAACGATCTCTGTGGTCCAGAATTGTGCTCATCCAGCAGAGTAACTAGAGAGCACAGTCACCTTTAGTTTGATGCAGAAATCTATGCAAGGTCACACTCGTCCCCCCCTCCCTCCTTGAGAACCCGAACAACACAATGCCCCACCAGGCAGGTGTGCCTGCACTGCCTACCTTTTCAGAGTGGGCACAGACAGGAGAGATATGGTCCTACAAACACCACCACAGACATCACAGTCCTTTTAATCTGAGCCCAGAAGGATGATAGCGACAGTAAAGAGCTCCACCAAATTCTCTGATACCCTTTCACATTCCTCCATGTACAAGACTCACTTTTATGAGCTGTTCTTTCCAAGAGGCCTTTTAAACATGCCCCAGGAATTGCACTCCTTGCACTGAACCTTCCTGCCTTAATCTCCGGTAGATTCCATACAGTACATAAATAATGGTGCGTGCTTCATTCCATGTATGCACCCCATTAAAATGGTGCTACTCTCTTCTATGTTCTATAAACTTCAGACACTCCCTGAACTAATGCATGCTACAGATGACCAAAGGCTCAACCTCAGCTTTGCCCTGTACAAAAAGGTATATCATATTACTTTGAGAAGACAACAAACTTGGATTGCCATCAAAGGAGTTCATCCCTTTCATGAAAGGACCAGATTTCCTCGGTATGTTAAAATAGAAATTGATCTGATTTGCAAAGCTCAAAGCATAGAATTAAATGATCTAAACCAGAATATCTACCTTCATTGTAACATCTTACTTGTTGTTAGATGACAACATACCAAACGTGGAGCTGAGTAGAAAATACACCGGAAAAATAAAGGGGGAAAAAAAATCAGTCCAAAAACACTGCTCATACCTGAGCTGCTCACAGCTTTATTCTAACAAATTCTAACAAAGAAAGTGTACTTGGAGATTAGTCTGGACATAAGATATCTAGGCACCTGTAGAGCAGAAAGACTATGGCTTACTAGAACACATGGAAGAGCACCAAAGTTACTTTAAAGGCTTTAGTTCTTTCATAAAGAATTTGATATTTGTGGCCCTGCAAATAATTCAGAAAGGCAGGAAAAGAGCAAACAGGAGAACTACAGTAAGCACACTTCCAGTGTGTGATTCACCAATTTGGATCAAAAACGATCAAATATTACCCATAAAACAGTCTTAAACACAGAGGGCTGATAAGAGACGCACACGCTACCACATCAAAGAACTGCATATTTCTTCATTCATATCTAAGCTAATACTGCGTTTGATATTCTATGATTCTAGGACATAGAAAGTAAAGGTATCACTTTCAGTGGCAGCAACCCTGCGATAGTACAGGAGGCAGCATATCCCCTCCACAACAACCAATACCATTGCATGTACCCATGCCCCATATCCACCACATACAAGAGAAAGGATCAGAGTAAGCCTATCCAAAAGAGATAAGAAGCCTTGTAAAGATATTTCCTGCTTGCTCCACGGTGTGAATGCAGCTCCTGACTTTCCTCCGAATTTATTTCATAGAATTAATGATTCTTAAAATGGCTTGGGTTGCAAGGGACATTAAAGCCCACCCAGTTCCAATCCCCTGTCATGGGCAGGGTTGCGAACCACTAAATTAGGCTGCCCAGGGCCCCATCCATCCATCCAGGCCATTTCCTCACTAACCAAGCAGAAAGACTAACAGGGAAGAGATACAAGCATCTCCAAGGTTCCTCACCAGTGCTCATGCCCTGGTTGCTGCTTGTAAATCTGCTGCAAATAACAGGGCAGCATGCCTGCTGCTGGCTGGGACACCCCAAGCAGATGCCACAGGACAAGACTGCAGCATCAGGCCCTAGTGGTAGCAGGCACAAGGCCCCTCGCTCATTCTGCAAAACAACCTGAAGAGACTGCAGATAGGACACAAGCATAGGGCAGTGCAAGGAACAAGCTGAGCCTGTCAGTCACCAACCTATCTCTTACTGCTCCACAGCAGTGGCCTACAAAGGGAGAGTCAAGCGGCAGCAGCGTGTGTACAAAAACAAACATTCATCAAATTGTATTGGAATATTAACAAACATTCTGGAACTTCAAATTACATAGAGCCAAATTAAAATTAAGATACTTGCAAAAAAAAAAAAACAAAATCATGACATGCAATGAAAGCACTTGTAATGTTCAAGTACTAACAACTTTACCTTTAACATTTCTGTTGCTCCACTATTGCAAATGGTTCTATTAAGCCTCAACAACTTTACAGAGGATTTCCTGGCACTTCCAACATGCCAGAAGTCTCAAGAGTCCTGGGACACTTACACGGCACGTCTTACATTTTGAAAAACAGTGACAGCATCATCCTTTACATTTAAGATTTTAATCTCTGGAAGAAGCAATCAGCACTAAGACCATGCGCCCAAGGCTACTTCTGTCAAATGGGAACAAACAGAATCTCACATTCCCAGCAGATGCAGAGGTCAATGAGTTGGTCAACAGCCTCACTTGTGCAGACTTGCTGAAGCACTATCCCCATCCCCACCTGCCATTTGTTTTAGTTACACTTGGAAAATATGACAGTACACTGAGTTACTGTCAGAGATTATGTGAACACGTGCAAGAAGAACCGTGCACTTTGCCCATCCCTGCTTGAGGCAGCCTGACAAGCCAGACAGCCAGCTGCAGTGTCCTGGACAGCTAATGACAATGGGCGCTTCCCATCAGTGATGCTGTTTAATATCAAGCAGTAACTACTGCAGACTCCATTTCTCCTCAGACTTCCACTCCATCACATACAGACTTCAACAATAAAGGAAGCAAACATGGCTCACTCACAGCTTACAATCCAATTTGAATATTAAGAAAGCAACAAGGCAAAATTGTGAGAAAAGGAAACCCACATGCAAAGGGCTGAAGTTGCTACCTACATTTGCTTCAGCCTATTCCATGCTCTCTCAAGTAAAGCAGAGTTGGCAATTCATATAGGCAAGTTTTAGGCAGATATTGGATACAAATGCATTCTCAGTACTGCAAATTTCACACTAGTGAAAAATAAATTACACTTGGTTGTATAATGGAAACCCTCTCTGATGCCTCCTCTGAACTCAGGCAGGCACTCCAGAAAGCAATACAGTATCTCTCTCTGCCTTACCAGAGCAGTATACTGCAGGCAGCAAGGGCAGCAGCAGTGACTCTGCCAGTGGAAAGAAAGCAGGCACCTGTGCATTCAAAGCAGCATCACACAGAGTTTGAGGAAATACCTTCTAGGATACTGTCGCTGCTTCTTGTTCAATCCTCTTTGCAATAAGATTGACACTTACAATAGTGCCCAACTTTAAGAATGGCCTCACTAGAGCTGCATTTATGTACCTAGGCCACTTCTAAGTAGTGTGAAAGGAGTGTATCACATGGAGTCATGTATTTCTTTGCAGAACCTGAACATTCCAATAAAATATTTAATACCAAGCAACCTGGCAGATACTGCACAAGCATTACTGCATTACTTACAGCAGTGAGAGAACTTGAGCCATCAACCTTTTCAGCTACGTCTCAAACACAGTCGGTGAGCATTACTTCAATACTCAGAACCAGACCTCGTTACACTTAACAGCCCTACAAATACTTCAACACCTAGATTTCAGCTTCAACTTTATACACTTTCTGATTGCATTACCATGAAATTTCCTGTAAACGAAGTACCAACCAAACTGGAACAGATTGCCCAAGGAGGTTGTGGATGCCCCATCCCTGGAGGCATTCAAGACCAGGCTGGATGTGGCTCTGGGCAGCCTGGTCTGGTGGTTGGTTACCCAGCACATAGCAGGGGGTTTGAATCTAGATGATCATAGTGGTCCTTTTCAACTCAGGCCATTCTATGATACTAGATCTTTAACTCAGTTCCTCTTTACACCAATCCAAGTGCCATCAGCCTGAAGCAGCACTTAGGTTTTATTATGCCCTAAGGGGACCTTAGGGCTCACCCTGCCCCAGGCAGGCAGCAGTTCCCCCACACACTGCCAGGCCCCTGAGCTGATAGCAATCTGCAGGGCGTTCACCTCCCGGTTATGTCCCAATGCTAACCTGCTGCCTTGCAATACAGCTGCCACTGGATGCCTTCCTGCTGTCACTCTGTCACCTGCCCGAGTGCTGCCGCTGGTCTAACACCCACTGTCCCATACACTGCTTTCCCTTGCTGCTTCCAAAGAGCAAGATGCAGCACAACAGCTTTAAACACCCAAAGATTTAAGGCAGTTCTTTGAATAACAATAACATTAATAATAACAATAATAAAAACATACCCTAGTTTGCACTGAAGAGTTCTTCACGAGTCAGACTCGTGCCGTATCTACACGGCACAGAACCATACGGCACTTTGAGTTGGAAAGAACCCTTGCAGACCACCTGGTCCAACTCCTCCGCAGTGACCAGGGACACGGACAGCCACATGGGGATGCTCACAGCCCCGTCCATCACTAAGCACTACTTAAAACACTTGCTAAAACACGTGAAGCGTCCTTACATCTCTCGAGGAGTACCTGCTTGTGTAAGATCTCGCTCGGACACCACTGTAACTCTTCAGTCCCGCAGCCGGCCCTCGTGGCCGGCCCCTCAGCGCTCCTCGCAGCTCAGCCCGCGCTCAGGTTCCCACCGCGCTGAGGACCGCTCCCCGGGAGCCGCTCCCTTCCTCCGCTCGCTCCCCGCTGTCAATGACCGCCCGCCCCGGAGGCCAGACACCGGGCACGGGCGTCATCCGACCCTTGCCGCCGCCGCCACCGTGACAGGGACGTGGCCGCTCCCGCTCGGCTCCACGCCCCGCCGCTCCCGCCCCGCGGCCCTGCCCGTCCCCACTCACCGGGCCGGGGGCAGAGGCACCCCCGCCTCCCTCGAGCGGCTCCCGCCGCCGGCCGCTTCACGCCGCCGCCATGTTGCGGGGGCAACGCGCATGCCCGGCCCGGCCCGGCCCCACCGCCCCTCCTCAGCCTGGCCTCGCCCCTACCTGCGGGGAGCCGGCTGCGGGAGGATGGTTGGGGGTTCGGGGTATGCTGATGGGGAAGGGAAGGGAAAAGAAAGGGAAGAAGGAAAGAAAAGAAATCCAAATGTATACCAAATAAAGCACCAACTTCTTCAGTGTGGAAGTCGAATTCAGCTAGCCAGTGCTAGTGTCCTGCATGCATTGCACATCGCTACTGCACTTAAAGTAACGCCCTCAGACCAGTCAGTTGGTTCTTCAGAAACAAGGAAGATGACTCTTCACCATTTTAATGCTTAGTGCTTAGACAGTGTGACAGAAATGAGCAATACTTAACTGAATCATTAAATCAGTTGTAGAGATCAATGAGGTCTCCCCTGAGCCTCCTCCAGACCGAACAATCCCAGTCCCCTCAGCTGCTCCCCATAAGACTTGTGCTCCAGACCCCTCATAGCTTTGTCACCCTTCTCTGGACACATTCCAGGGCCTCGATGTCTTTCTTGTAGTGAGGGGCTCAAAACTGAACTCAGCACTTGAGGTGCACTCATCAGAGCTGAGCACAGAGATCACCTCCCTGTTCCTGTTGGCTGCACTATTTCTGATATAAGCCAGGATGCCACTGGCTTTCTTGGCAATGTGGGCATATCAGTAGCTAATAAACAGACTTGAGAATGAATGTCTGGAAGATCACCCTCTGTCACCAGTAAAAACAGTGGAAAAAAACAAAACTTTGAAAGCTCTCTTGTAATTTGGCAGCTAAAGGGATCCATTGCACTTTCACCTAACTAGCGGCAATGGATGCAAAGCCAACAATTTCTGCACATGATTATTAGAAAAAGGAGTAAGGAGTCATGCCTGCTTCCATTTGCCAGCAATGTGATGAGCTTGTTTGCTGGTGGCGCACCCATCATCCTTTGTGTACTTCTATGGGTCTTAATCTGAATTAATTGGTCATTAAAGCCAGGAAATATTTAAATTCTCATTATTCTTTAGAAACAGAGAGTTAAGTATGTTATACTACAGTATGTATGTATATAGTACGTATGCATGCATGCATACATGTTTTTATATATACGCTATATTTATGCTTTCATACATACTTTATATGTATATAGATACATACATACAGTATGCATGACTTTGCATACATGCAGGGAAATTACATCATTTTCAAAAGAATCAATGATGTCAAAATAAAAATATCTCATGAAGATAGACTACAATGAACCCCTACAACTATTCAATATGATGTCCCAGAAGGCTGACACGGATGAAAAAAATGTTTGAAACCTGGCAGTTACTCAAAGAAACTGCTTTAAGATTGTGAATGAACTACCTGTCCACACAGAAAAGAGAAGGAGTGTAGTACAAGACTAGCCTAGCTATCACGAGCAATTCCAGGAGTGCAGGCAGGAGGGAAGCAAGCAGAATGGAGCAGTTAGGTTGAATAACTGCAAAACTACAACACTACAGACCAGTTGTGAAGGTAACCAGCAATAGGGTGAGAGGTGATGGCTTCAAGCTGCACAGGGAAGGTTCAGGTTGGATATTAGGTAACGTTTCTTCTCAGAAGGAGTGGTGAGGCAGTGGCACAGGCTGCCCAGGGAGGTGGTAGAGTCACCATCCCCGGAGGTGTTCAAGAAATGTTTGGATGTGGCATTGAGGAATGTGGTTAGTGGGCATGCTGTGATGGGGGATAGCAGGATTTCCACACTTTGGGGAAAAGGTATGAAAAAAGGAATGTGCCATTCGGTACTGCTGCACTGAGGTGGGTGGTAACACAGAGGCAGATAGGAACACATAGGAAACAGAGAAATGTGAGGTGCTCTGCAGGGAAAAAACAAAAACAAAAACAAAACAAACAAACAAAAAAAAACACAGATGTGCGATTATGTGCAAAAGAGAAGAAGAGAACAGTCTGTGGTTATATGAGTCACAGTCAGACTGTACACAAGGTGACAATATCAAAGTGCCACAGTGAGAATGTCATACCACTTAAAAGGATGTGAGAACAGAATAAGAGACTCCAAATGAAGTAGCTGTCTCTACTCAGCTGTGGAGAAGCTTGGTAGCAGTGGTCTGATGGTCTGCAGAAAGTATGCAGAGAAGAGAGAGAAAGGAGCAATTTGGATGAATGGATAACTATAGAGTATGCACTACGAGGAGATTCTTAAATCAACACTATGCAGTGGGGAGAAGAGGTAGATGGGAAAATAGCACAAACAGCTTTACAGATACAGATAAGAACATAAGACAAGTATTTAAGAGTGCTTCCCAAAGCAAAGATTTGAAGGCGAATTTTAGTGGTTGGCAACCCTGCCCACAGTAGGGGGCTGAGCACTGGATGTTGGTTGAGGTCCCGTCCAACCCAAGCCAAATCTGTGATTCTATCCATCGGAAACTGTCTTCATGCTTTCTGAGTCCTCCCTCCTCCAAGCTGGCACAGGGTGGTTGCCCTTTGTAAGGTGTATTACAGATATTTGAAAGGTTGCACAGTTTTCCTGCCTAAAGAAAGCCATCATTTAGACATAAACGGGTCTGGTTTCTTCTCTTGCTTATGTGAATTCAGCATAAATTATTGATAGCTTTTCTGAGGGGACGGTAACGTTTTGCTCTTTCCTGAGATTGAAGTTTACCTTTTTCTGAACTGCTTCAAAAGTCTTTCAAGTGTGACAATGACACATTCTTTTAATAACATCTTTTTTTGTTTTTGCTTTTCTGCTTGCGTGTAGGAAATGCCATCACCTCCTTCACAATATTTAAATGGGGTAGATTAAGAACAGGAATAATTACAGATGACAAGTGTAAAGAACACTCACTATGATTATAATAAGTAAAAAAAATTCAAGCCTTCTAAAGCAGTTTAGATGTTTAGCTTAGGTGTTTACATATGCATGTGGGAGCTGGTTACCTGAAAGAAAAGGAGCTGTGTTATTTTCATTTGTGTGGCTACAAACCTGAAAATAACTTTCCTGAGATGCAAAAAGCTTTCAGAAGTAAATGAGAACAAGACCTTGGCCATCATGCTTTTAGAAATCTTTTGTTATATTAATTAGAATTTGCTTTGTAGAGGGATAAGCAGTGAAGAACTGATTTCAGATAAGATAGACTTGAGCTTTTATCAGCAAAAGGATAGGGAGTAAATTTGCTCCAGCAAGGGAAAACAAATTTGCTTTCTTTGGTTATGTATTACATTAGGTGCTTGCTTAGCACACATAGACAAAGAGAAAGAAAAACAAACAAACAACAACAACATCAAAAAACAAAATAGCTCTACTCCAAAAATGATGGGGGCAAAAACCTGTAATAGGTTTGTAGTACTGAAAAAGATAAAATTTAAGGTGATGAAGGGCTCTTTTTTCTGATATCTCTCAGGTCCTCTGGAGCTTCAGGCTACCTCTCAGTGATATAAACACTATGTAGGGCAAGGCAGAAAATTGTTTTTCCTTCCCTAAGAGTTTTCTGTGTTTCAGGTTGTTCTTCAGTCCTGATTGACACTGAAAAACTGTAGTATAATGATTTCAGTACGTGGAAATGGTTTGGCTCACTGGTTCTAAGTATCCTTTTTGACTCTCTTTCTTTGATGTTTTTATAGAAATTATGTCGTGTTTGAATTGAAACTTTGTGAATCTTTTGAGAAATAATATATCCACTTATCACCATTTTTTCTGTTTGTTTTTTGTTTATTTGGATCTAGGAAAAGCAGCAATACCATCTCTTTACTAAAGACAATTTCACTGTACAAAGGCATATTTAATCAGTCTGAAACACATGAATAAAATGGGAGAAGCCATTTTACTGAGTGGATGTAAATATACGGTTTGAAACAAAGCAATGGCACAAGAAACACAACTTTTACATGTGGACCATAGTACTCGAGATTAGTGGTTTGTGTAAGGAAGCCAAATGCAAATGTTGCAGTTACCTAGCCCTAACGTAACAGTCCCTGTGCAGCAGCTCCAAAAGAGCAGTGAGGCAGTGGCACAGGCTGCCCAGGGAGGTGGTGCAGTCACTGTCCCTGGAGGTGTTCAAGAACCATGTGGATGTGGCACTGAGGGACGTGGTCAGTGGGCACGGTGTGATGGGTTTGGTGGTTGGACTGGGTGATCTTAGGGGTTTTTTCCAACCTTAATGATTCTGTGATTCTAAGAAATATTTTAGTAATGCACTTGACCCAAACTCAGATTTAAGAATGTTTTCTGTAGGAATACACCCCAAACTCTGCTTCTCTGGCAGGCGTTTGTGCTGAATTGCTGTATGTTTCAATTAGTACATCAAGACCCAAAGATTTAGCTGGTAGTAACACCTGCAGAGCTTGGTTTAAACCACATGCAGCTTGGTGTGATGCGCAAGACTGCATATGTTCTGAGAGGCTGCTGCAGGCACAGAGACTGAGACAAATGTTACGCTTTGTGTAAAATGCCATGCTTTGTGTGAACAGCACTTATTGCCATGTCAGCCCAATGAAACTTGAGATGCTAAAGTGGCCATCCTGTGTGGTGCTACCATCAAGTCAGAGATCTGTCAGTACTGTGTTTTGCAGTGATGACAGAGGCAAATTGCTAGTAGCTCAGAAAGGCAAGTGCCTTCTGCTTCTCGAAAAGGCTGTTCTTTGTAAACAGAATAGCTTGTGTTGAACTTGGAAGGTGATGTTTCATGTTTGCAGCATCTCAGTCATTTATTCATTCCCGTGATGCATTCGTCCAGCTTTCCCAGAAATAGACATGTGCCCAGAGTGGCAGCATGTGTGTCAGTGCCAGGCACAGCTCCCTGCCAACAGCCAGTTACTTTTCCCAAAGCAACTGCTAGCATATACAATAGACAACCTCAGACCAGTAATACCTAGAGGAAATGGGTCTTTCTTTTCATAGAACCACAGAATCATTAAGGTTAAAAAGAAATAATAAGATCATGTAGTCCAACCAGCAGCCTATCACACCGTGCCCACTAACGACATCCCTCAGTGCCACATC